CCTGTTCCTGAGATGATTCTGAAATTCAGGTGGTATGAAATCAAAGTCATATTGGCTCCTGTGGATTTGGTTTAATTTTCCTCAGCTTCAGCTTGAACTTGCTCCCGGCTGGCTCGTTGCTACCAAGGAAGATACATGAACGAAAAATAAGCACCTGAAGCATCATAAACCTCGATAACTCATTTACTCACTGCCTTCAAGTAGATTCTGACTCCTAGAGGTCCTACAGGGCAAATTAAAAGCTGAGGGTTTTTTTTTTAAAAAAAAAAAGCAAAAGCTGGCTCCAGTTAAAGCCCCAAATCATACAGATCCTGAGAGACAAAATAGGATGAAACTTAGAAAGCGTAGTCTGTCAACTACAGACAAAATACACAACCAGGAGAGGATAACATCAATGAATAGGACCTTCTAAAGAGTGGTTTGAACAGTTTAACTGAAAACATGGATATCAGACCAAATCATACAATTTATATCAACAATATGAATGACAAAATTAAAAAAGAAGAAATGAAGAGGTCTTTGTATGCCCTATTTTCTCAGTTTGGTCATGTGGTAGATATTGTGGCTTTAAGGACCATGAAGAGGAGGGGACAGGCTTTTGTTATATTTAAAGAACTTGGCTCATCCACAAACGCTTTGAGACAGTTACAGGGATTTCCATTTTATGGCAAACCAATGCGAATCCAATACGCAAAAACAGATTCCGATATAATTTCTAAAATGCGTGGAACTTTTGCTGACAAAGAGAAAAAGAAAGCAGAAACTGTGGAACAGGCTGCAGCAGCCACAAACAAAAAACCTGGTCAGGGAACACCAAATTCAGCTACTACTCAAGGAAATTCAACACCAAGTCCTCAGGTCCCTGATTACCCTCCAAATTATATTTTATTCCTTAATAATTTACCAGAAGAAACTAATGAGACGATGTTATCCATGCTGTTTAATCAGTTCCCTGGATTTAAGGAAGTGAGCTTGGTACCTGGCAGGCATGACATCGCATTTGTTGAGTTTGAAAACAACGGGCAAGCTGGTGCCGCTCGGGATGCTTTGCAGGGATTTAAGATCACACCATCCCACGCCATGAAGATCACTTATGCCAAGAAATAACACTTGGGGGAGTCTTCCTTAAAGGACTTGAACTTATTTATGTTTTTTTGATAACTCTGGACAGGCCATTTTATAGTTGAGAGCAAGGGACATATTGAAAGTAAACTTTGTGGAAATACTTAGATAATTACCTTGTCTTTCTTAAGCTCTGGTGAGCCTTAAAGTATGAAGCCCTTAATTTTGTACAATAAACCTTTGTTTGTATTTAAAAAAAAACAAAAGCTGAGTTTCCAAGGCTATAAATCTTTACAGAAGCCAACTGCCTCACCTTCCTCCCATGCTATTGAGTATGAACTACTGACTTTTCCGTCAGCATCCCAGAATTTATCCCACTACACCACTAGGGCCCCTCAACAGTGCTCATTATCAGAAAATGAAAGCCAGAACCTTGCTGTAATCCCACTACACACTTTTTACAAACCCACTGCCTTGAGTTGGTTCTAACTCACAGAGACCCTCCAGCAGTTTCACAAAGCTGTGAAATCTTTATAGGAGGAGAAATAACTTTTCGTTAGTAATTCAACTCATTGTACACAATGCCACTAGGGCTCCATATACACTGATTAGAATGTCTTAGAAACTACAACAAAAACACTGACAATACCATGTTCTGATGAAGAAATGGAGCAACTATAACTTTCACAAGTAAGTATAAAAAACAGTATAATCCCTATGGAAAACAGATTTGAATTGTTATATGGTATATACAGTTAAGCACATACCATATGACTCAGCAATCTTTTTTCCTGGGTAGCGACCATGAGAAAATGAAAATTTAAATGTACATAAACACATTTATACAAATGTCTACAGTAGCAGGTCTATTAGCCACTACGAAAATCTAAAACTATCTAGATATCCATGGATTAAGGGATAAATAAACTTGGGTGAATCCTTAGAAAAGAACTCATAAGAAAATAAACGAAGTATACATTCAATATAGGGAGCTCTGGTGGCCTAGTGGCAAGAAGCTGTACTGCAATCCCAAAGGCACATAGTTCTAAGCCACCAGTTGCTCCATAGAAGGCTGGGTAACCTCCTCCCCTGTGATTAAATGCCTCTGAAAATCCACTGGAAGAGCAGCTCTGAGTTGGTCTGACTCTATGGTACACCACCGCAACAACATACATTTAATCAGGCTAGAGAAGTGGGAGTCATCAAGCATTCTCAGACATAACACCCTCACCGACCCCACTGCACTGAGTGGTTCCCAGCTATTAGCAGGCTCCGGAAGGTTCTTCATTCTGATTACAGCAATATGTTAGGTGCCACACCACCAGAGCTCCTTTGGCACTCTTTTAAGAGAAATATAGGCAGCCTCAAGTTACAAATATTCCCAACTAGATCTTAAAGAAGATGTAGGTAAGTCAGAACAGGTGTGTATACTTCTTCTTTAGCCTTACTTTAGTGCAAGAAAGGCACCCTAATGACAATAGTGCTCAGTTCCTCTCTGAAGGACTGGTAATTCAGTCCCACTATAAATAAAGGAACATTTTTTCCCATTAAGATTTAAAGCCTCAGAAACACAATGAAGTAGTTCTGTTTTCATTATACACATCACAGAAACAACACAGGACAATAAAGTCATCATGTCAATTGTATGAAGTATATGCTATTAGTTAGAAGGACAATTGATGCCTTTGAGCTGTGGTGTTAGAGAAAAGTATTGAATATACCATAGATTGTTAAGAAAATGAACAGGTTCATCCAGGAGAGGGTTAAATCAGGCTGTTCCTTGGAGGCAAGGATTCTGAAGCTTCGTCTGACATACTCTGGACATGTTGCAAGGGGGGACCAGTCCTTGGAGAAGGGTGTCATGCTTAGGAGGGTGGAGGTATAGCACAGGAGAGGAAGACACTCTTTCAGTGTTTCAGTGACTGGGGTAATCGGGTAGGTGTTTGGAGACTGAAACTGGCACAGGATAGAGCATGGTTTTGGGCTGTTGTACACATGGTCGCTGTGAGTCACAGACGACTCGATAGCACATAACAACAACAACATGCTGGGAACTGTGGAGGCCTAGTCCACATGGAGTTGTGCTGTTAACCCAAAGGGGTTGCCACTCTTGTGGCTCCTTCAGTGATTTCTGAGAGAAAAATGGGCAATCTCCTCCCATGTGGAATCCCACTAGAGGGTCAGCAATGAGTTTATTCTGACTCAACAGCAATGAAAGACACAGAGCTACATACTAGTAGACAGTGAGTACCACCAACACATTTAACAGATCTTTGAAATATCAATTGATAATCATTTGAACACTTGAGTTCTGCAGCACCAGGTAAAGCAGATGGTCAGGCCAATCGCCCAGATCCTTCCCAGCAGACGTTGTCTGGGTCTTTGAGTATGAACCAACCTGGTGATAAAAGGGGTTTTGGGTTAGTGCAAGAAAAGGCTCAAGAGTCTTTTCAACAATTTAAAAGCAAGAAGTGTAGGTTGGTGATTGTGACAAAGAATTTTGTTCCATCATTCTGAATTGAAGACAAATTTACATGACGTTAAAGGGCAAGTAGGAATTGTCCACAAGTCAGATACTCCTAACTTATAGCCTAAAATGCAAGAAGTTGGAGGAAGCCCAGTGGTACTCTGCTTTATCCAAGACAGAGTCGTTTATTTTTTTTCAGCAGTCCATGAGACATTCAACAATCTTCCAACAATGCAATCCAAAGGCTTTAATTCTTTTTCCATCTTCATTATTCATTATTCAACATTCACATGCATTTGAAAGGACTGGAAATAACATGGCTTGGGTCAATGTGACATGCTTGCTCTTTAGTATTTCAAAAAGGTCCTTGACGGTAGCTTTGTCTGAGGCAATACTAAATTTTATGCACTGGCTTCTGCTTCCATGATCACTAATTGTGGATTAAAGTAGAATAAAAGCCTTAATGTTCCTAACAGCATAGAAACATGCTTTCTGGGACCACATTAGTGAAACTGTGCTTGCTCCAGTTAACAACTGCAAAGCAGACAATGCCAATGAGCTCTCATCTTATCCAAGATCTGACACTCCTCATCAACTCTTGTTTCTTCCCTATCTCAGTGTCTGCCTTCTGAGTTTTCTCTACCCTCCCAAGTTTCATGAACCCATCTCTGCCCTCCTCCAATCATATTCAGACACCTCCTTCTGGATTCCTGCTCATGTCGATGACTTTAACCCTGGAAGGGTTAAAAATATTCTAATGGAAAACCAGTCTATCCGGGCCTCAGGGGTTTTACAGGTTGTAATCCTGGTCCTGTGAATTTCAAGTTAAGCTGTGAATACTTATGATGTACATCTATTAAAGTATTTGTTGTATATCAGAAATTCATATTTACCTGTTTAGGTTCTCATTGCTGATGATTCAGAATCAACTCATAGCTGACCCTCCAGGAGGTTTTCAGAGGGTGTACATCATCTGGGAGATAGCCCATCCATCTCGCTTGGAGCAACTAACAGGTTTGAAATGCCTGCTTTTGGGTTGGCAGCACAATTTCTTGACCACTAGGCAACCAGAGCTATATTATATTGTCTTTGGACTTGGCATTCATGGAAAACCAGGCAAGGAAACCTATCAGACAAATTGGTTATAAAAATGAATTAAGTGCTATTACAAGTTCTACTGGAAAAGCACTTTTGGTTCTGTCATTGCTATGTGCTGCTGCTGAGTTGGTACCAACTCACAGTTAACCCTCCAGTGGGTTTTCAGAGTCTCTAAATCACATGGGAAGAGACTGTCTATCTTTCTTCAGGAAAGCAGTTGGTAGATTCAAACCACTTGCTTTTGAACTGACAGCACAACTCCTTACTCACTAGGTACAATTTAACCAAGATGTAGGAAGCTCTGGTAGTGCTGTGGGTAAAAACATTCAGCTGATAACAAAAAGGTCATTAATTCAAACCTATCAGCTGCCTCATGGAAAAAGATGTCTACTTCGATAAAGATTACAGATGTGGGAACCCTATAGAAACCCTATAGTTCATTTTATAGGATCATATAATTTAAAATTAACTCAATAACAATGGGTTTAGTATTTTTGATAATCAAAGTGCTGTTCCTTTAAAAACAAGCCAAAAAACTATAAGGGATCACATATGTATTTGTGGGAAATGTATTAAATGATGAAAACTTGTACACTAAGGACAATAAGATGGTCCAAGATAGGGCAATGTTTCATTCTGCACTTTCTACATAAGGTTAGTAAGGGCTAAAGCCAACTCGGTGACAACTACAACCATTCAAGTTTGAGTCCATACTTCATTTTAATACATGGCAATGATTGTAAGCTCTGCTGAAACCTGCCTGTGGGCTGCAGAGTCCTGATGTGAGCAAGTCCTCTACTCAGTGATGAGGAAGCTGAGGAGGCTGAGGACTCTGCTGTCCCTAAAGCAGCCCTTACCACTCCTCATTGGAAGAACAGACTGTACCTTGGTCCTTATTTCAGATGGACTGTCCTGGATTCCAGGCTGTACTTGTTTAACCACCCAAGGACACATCCAGGTGGTAAAGTTGGGGTTGATGCTAGGCTCTGATCTGATGACAACATGGTCTTGATTAGGCCCCTGGAACTTACTGGGCAGTACAGGTAAACTAAGGCTAAAGGACCTGTCCTGTCTTCTTTACAAGACCCTCTTGAGATTAAACCAGCTAAAAGCACTTATTAACTGCTCATACAATCTTCATTAAGTGCCAAAGTTATCTCTTTCCTCCTTTATGCTCTTCATGCAATGTCACGAAGTCCTATCAACTCTACCACTGACGTGTCTCTTAAATTCGTCACCTCTAGACCATCACTTTTTTCCACTCTCACATGAGTCCTTCAAGTGCATCCTGCTTATCCACTTCACAGCTATAGCCTCAGTTCTCCAACGTACTGTCCACACAAAGTGTGCTTAAAAACAAAGTCTGGTACACAAAGGATGGCAGCATGGCTCCACTTCCCACTGCCTACAGGGACTTCCAAGATCCACAGGCCCTGAGGTTCTTCAGAGACAAACCCAGGCCAGTCGAATCAGTAGGCCT